TTACTAACCATATCTGCATGTATGCGTACTATACAGTATAGACTAGTATACATGTACATAATGCACACATATATACATACATGTAGTTTATATGTTAGTATATTATATATGTATATGTATACATAAAATTTACTAATGACTATTAGAATAAATTTTTATATGTTACAGGATATATGTTATATCTTGACTATGAAAGGAAGATATAGTGAAGTTGAATTATTGTTATCGTGTAACTTATTAAAAAGATTATATCCAGTCTTATTATTTAAAGTATTAAATGATTGTCCACAGGAAATAATCAATACTCGCGAAAGCTATGACAATGGTATTTCTATCTGTGAGTGCATCAACTTCTTCTTAGAGAAGTGTTACCCCAATCTATACAATGATAATTATTTAAACAAATTGTATGCGCTCTTAAAAAATCATATTAGAATTGTGGTATACATTTTACAGTGGAAGAAACAACATTTTATAGAATTAAGTGCCAAAGAATCAAAAAATTCGCAATCTAATATGATTGAGCAGATAGTATCTGTAAAACAAATTTTATCTCTTTTGCAAAAACACAATATACTTTTTGTCTTGAAACTAATAACAAATATACATGATCAAGATTATAGTGACATTCAAGATTTAGTGAAGGAGGTGTCTTTGAATCAATCTATGAGTTTTCAAGCATATTGTTGCATAATAAGCGTCTTAAAAGCCATTTTTTTATGTGAATTTTATAACGTGGAACATAAACAAATTACTAAATACTTCTCTGACATGATGTCATACTTATCTTCTTTGTTTCCTCTCTCATTAAGAATAGAGACAATGGAGAATATATTTTCCTTATTATTTTTACGTTATGAAGATTTCAATGTTATAAATGCTAGTTCCAAAGATGATTGCAATATTCGTAAATCAATAGACTATGAGAAGTCTGGCTTCATAGCTAATAAATATGCTGTAAGAGACATGCTATACTATTTATGGAAGAGTACTTTGATTACAACAGAAGAAATTGATAAATTACAAGTACTTGGATCGCATAAAGAAATGCAACAACTTCGCGAAAATGTATCCACCTTTACATCAACATTGATAGATACTCGTTGGAGATTGAAATTTCATATGGGACTTTATTTTTTTAAAAATGTTGGTACGCCACAAGATGAGTCTGATAATCCTTCTGGTGTAAATAAATTAGAATCTGTAATCTCTCAAACATCGAGTTTTCCACATCGCATCACAGGGGACACATTTTTTTATAAAGGAGATAGTACCTCCGATGAAATTAAAGTTAAATCTGACAGTAGTTCAGAGTCTGGCTTATTAAGCAGAAATAAACGCAGAAAATGTTCACGAATTACTGCAGAAAAGACGGATCATTTGACAACGAAAGATAAACTGTCCTTAATAAATTTAATGTTAGCCTCGAAAGAAAGTTTGATTGTCCATTGTTTATGGAAAGGCAATTTTCAGAAAGCGCAAGAGGTAGTTGAGGTAATGTTGTTTTATATTAATAATGCATCATATCGAATGTGTGTGTGACTTATTTCATAATATCATACATCGATTGGTTAACTTGACACTTAACCATTCACTTTTAACCGGGATTAACTTTGATAATTTAAGTCTGCGGCTATAATTTTGTACCGAATGTCCAGTAATGACCAGATTATTTCTCGTGAGCTCGTAAAGTGGACTAAACTAATAGCGAATTCGATTGGATGCATTCAGTGCATTAAATTACTGGTGTATTAAAGCCGTCGTACATAAATTGACGTAAATAAATATATTTATTATAAACATAAAAACTGGTCAAATTATGAAATACTCAGTACACTTTATTATGCTGTGAGGTAAAATATGTATTTTATAATTCGAAATATTTGCATTTCATTTTTACATTCAGATTAAATCATTGTATAACGGCTTTAACACCCAATTAGACGTACTAGTGCGTCCAATTGAATTCGTTACAATCGGAAAGTCCTGTACCATTTTTATAATTTTCATAACAGTTAACAAAAAGTTCTGAAAGATCATCGAATGAACGTGTATCCGTTCGACCTTGGGCAGTCATACCTCACAGCCTTTGCATTCCGCGGTGAGATATGACCGGGCTGATACACACTCATTCGAAGATTTTTAGAAATTAATTTCTTGTTAACACTATTACGGAAGGTAAAAAATGATACAGGACTTTTCAATTCAATTTAGTCCTCGACCACCTGCTCACGAGAGGTGATGTGGTTATTAGACACCCTATCAGGGTTGGGAAAGTTACTTTTTAGATTACTTTATATGCCTTTGTTATAGAAATTGAATACAAAAAGTAATTCAAAATTGGAGCAAATGATAAAATATAATATAAAAAAATATTACTTAATTTGTATAATATTAGATCGGAGGAAAAGTTCTGCGGTATTTTTTAGTTTAAAATTATATATACAATATCTACATTAAAAATTATCAAAATTTAAATTTAAAGAAAGGGTTTTAAAGCTTGAAATCTCTACTTTTGAATACTTACTATATTTTTTGAATTTATGTGAGTTTTGTAATTTTTACATATATATAGAAACTATGAGCGGAAAAAAATGAAATATTTTCAACTATCTGTCGTGAAAGCTTGAAGCTTTCCCTACAAAATTATTTTTTTTTAATGTGCCTACGATTTTTTGTTCCTGAGTTACTTGCGGATAAGTAAAAAAAAGTATTCTGACTTTGATTGCTCATAACTCCATTAAAAATCATTGTACTGTAATAAAAAAAAAACAGATTCTTAAAGTTGAAATGTTGCTCTATCGAGTGATATAATAACCAATTTAAGAAAAATAGAACATATATAAATTTGAGCTAAAAATGACATTACATTGTCCTTATAATTATTGCGCAATAATTAAAAGAAAAGTAATGTCATATTTTTAGCTCAAATTTATATTCTACGTTTAAAAAATTAGTAATTGTATCATTCGATAGAGCAAAGATTCAGCTTTAAGAATCTGATTTTTTAATTGCAATATGATGATTTTTAACGGAGTTATTATAAACAATCAAAATCAGAATGCTCTTTTATTTAATCCGCATGTAACTTGGTAACAAAAAGTCGTAGGAACATTTTTTAAAAACGAATTTTTAGGAAAAACTTTAAGCTTTCACGTCAGATAGTCGAAAATTTCGCAACAAATATATTCTGTATATAATTTTAAGCTAACGAAATACGGCAGAACTTTTCCTCCGACCCAATACAATGTAATTTATAAGTAACTTGTAAAGTAATTTTCCCAACCTTGCATTCTATATAATAACTTATTTTATTTCTAGATACGTAATTTTACAACGTGTAACTACCATTTGAATCTTGAATTATATGCACCTTATCACTCCATTTAACAACAATTTACATGTTTTTGCTAATGTAATTTTATAGTTAACTTGACACATTTAATTGTTTTCTAAGATTATAGTAAAGAAGATTTTTAAAACAAAAGGTCGAATCGTTTACATTTTTTTATATCTTTAAGTAACAAATTTTATGTACACATTCATCTAGTATTACTCGTATTTGCATTTTTATTGTGTTTGATTTTTGTCTTCTAACTTTTTGTCTTCTGTACAAATTAGATCAAAGTTAAACAAATGTTTTAATAGTTTTTATGCCGCACAAACAATTCACATCAAATTATCAATATATCATGATGTAAGATTAAATATAATTTTAATTTATGAATATTAGCACATTCATTGTTTAGAAATATAAACGTATTTCTTACTCGCATATCTAGGAAAATGTTTCTATTTCTAAATAAAAAAGTGCTGACAAACATATAAATCAACGGATATCTGAATTGGATTTATCTTAAATTATATGCGCTTAGCAAATAGCGAATGTATTAATATTCATATATTTCTTATTGCAGCTTCGAAAGTCTTGTATGTGTTGTATTCATATTCAGTAGCTTCGTATTTAACAGACTCTTTCACATCTTTCTCCTTTTTTAAATCCTTCACGAAAATGCCAGGCGGATTCATTGCGTAATATTGTTTGATGAGTATGATCCTTTTTCGTGGAAAACAAAATTTACAACGGAAACAGCAGCAACACCATCCTAAAATATAGTATAATTTTCATATATACGATATTATAACATTTCCATATAATAATTTTTCCAAGAAAAGATACAAGATTGATGAAATTACCTCTTTGACACCAACAAGGAATTGCCAAAGAAATATAAATTAACAACCAAACTCGGAGAACCAACCATGTCCTCGAAAGAATCATTTTCGCGGTCATTATGTCTTTCGTGCGCTGATAATCGTATGAAAGACATTCTATTGCTTTGATTCCGATTTTGCTCAGTTCCTCCTTTGTACAATTCTTCGATCGTTTTAAATCTATTAATCTTTTTAATGCTCCTTTTGGCATATCCTTCGATTCTTTCTGACTATAATTCAGTACTTTTCCTTGCTTTATGTCATATTCCAGCTGCTGTTCATATTCCATTTTAAATCTGTTGTATTCATCATATGAATCTTTATAAGAATTCTTTTTATTTGCAACTGTAGGTCTTCTTTCCGAAATTAAAAACTGATCCAGAGTAATTTTGATTTCTTCACTTGCAGTTTTTTGGTCATATTCATACAAGTTATATTGTGTCTCTTGCGTTATCACGAAATATTCCGTTGTTTCCATCTTACTAGTTGTAATATTCCTATTTCTTATAACTTGGAAAAAATCCATGTCTTTGTTTATTATTCCATAATAGTTTGTTATCTCTTCGCGTTTTATTCTGACGCTTTTTATACTTTTGTCTATTTATTTGCCAACAGAAGAATAGTTATTTCTTCTCTTTTCATTTATTAATATTGATATAATATGATGTGATTAATTACACGTATTAATTAGTACCTGCGGCAACGTTTGTTGTATCTTTTCTATAATTCTGTAATCTCTCAAAATTCCGTACATTTCTCTTGTTCTTTAAAAAATTAATAAATATGATTAATGTATGAACATTATATTCTTAGAATCAATGAATATGATTAATTGTTTGTGTTAATTGATGTTATACATCAGTGGCCTGCTTCATGGTTTTGGAGAAATACATTATACATTCAAAGAAAAAGTGGTGCAGTAGGAAACAGGAAAAAATTAAGAAATTTGAATGCTCGTAAACATATTTAATAATTATGATACAGAAAAAACGAAGATGGAACTTGAAGAATGTATTTTGACAAACTATTGATACCAATTAAGACTCTTAAGTAATTAGCTATATTGAATCGTGACGTTAGAAACGAGAAATGACACGTTAATTTTTGTTACGTGCCATTTGTAAATAAAGGCAATTAGCCTTGAACAATTATCATTAGAAAATTAATTATCTCACTTAATCAGTACAAAAAAATTTACCAAAATACAAACTTCAAATTTCATTTTTATCTTTTAAGTATCTTTTTAATAATTATGTATTGCCTCACAAGCATTTGAAATTAAAAAATTTTTCTATTTTCTACTGGTTTTTTTTTGTAAATATAGATTTAATAATGAAAAACGTTTGACACTTTTACTTTTTTCAATAAAAATATTTACCTTATCTAAATTATGCTTAAAACCAGCAATAAATGGTTTATTTTCTTGTTCTAAATTGAATATTTCTTTTATACGTGGTTGCAGCAGAAATATATCTGAATACCGGTTTTTACTTTCGGCGTTACGCTCATTGTAATATTTTACATGAGAATGTAATGGTTCATATCTGCTTTCGTCTTTTACAAGAGATTTCAAATCCGCAAGATCCACTGGTTGAATCATTTCGTTTTCATTTTCTTCGTCGTAATTTGCATCATCCAACGCAATTTCAAAGACTTTGGTATCCCGTACATCAATCTATACTGAATAATTATTACAACTTTGATCAAAATATTATGATTTGAATTAAAGATTACAAATAGAGTTTGTTTTAAGTATTTAACTGCATGTGAAATTGTTTGTAAAATACGAATCTGAATTATTAACAGTAATATAACTGCTTTTTGATTTAGCATTTTAAGCTTCTTCTAATATCATTTAGGAATATATTCTATTCCCTAGATGTTCCATATGGAAAACACACAATTGGATGGTGAGATTCGATTTTCAGAAGCACTACACACGTTTAAGCAGAATCTATATAAACACATTCGTACTTTAGACACAATAGATTCCTTTAAAGAAAGCTCAAAAACTTCTACATTAGAGGTAAATATATTTTACGATTTGTATGATAAATCTTATTGTAATATAAGTAAGATGTGTTACAATACGTTTACAGAATATAAAATTTGCTGCACAGGAAGGTGTACAGTCCTCTAAGTATATCAACCAACTTGAAACATTTTTCGCATCTCAACAAGTACATTTACTAATATTAGATACAAGTATTTTACGTAGCAACGAAATATTAACTCTTAGCGTGCTGGATCTAAGTTTGACTATGGGCCAAACATATCAGATCTCGAGTAATCTATGTGATGTAGCAATGAAGTATTTAAAACTCTGTGAAACGTTTGACAGCACAGGGCATGCGAGTTTCTTTTCAAAAATTTATCAATTGTTTTACGAAAATAGAAATAATGTGTCTGTGAACGTTATACTGTGTGACGCCAGAATTCCGTTATGTATAAAGGAATGGAGAGAAAACGATGCCATTTGGAACGAATTTGAGAATAATTATCATATGCTGTACGACTTCAAAAGAATAGATATTATGGAGACGCAATCTTGCAGCAATAACTATATTTTAGGATTAAAAACAATAGAAAAAATATCTGATATTTTTGATAGCGAGAAATATCTTTACAACATCTACTTGTATCTACAGCTTATATCTACTATCATCCCAGGTATTAGTAAACTCGTTCATTTATTAATTTTATTTCATCCTTTTTTTGCACAAAATTTATTTTTGATCATGTTTTACTAAATCTTACAAGTAACACTACTCGAGTGCCATACGCCGATTTCCCTGACACTGTGCATACATGTAGTACATTGAAAAATATCTGACACTTTTTTCTATCTGCCAAAAATCGTTTACATGAATTTTTTCTTTTTAGCATAAATTTTTTGTAAAAAAGTGCTAATTTTGACTGGCATGTTATTTATTATTAATACAAAATAATCACATATTATTCATGCATACATATAAGAACATGAAGATATTAATACAAATTAATTGTGTTAAACATAGAAAAATTGTAAAAAAATAGTTATTTTATATATGAGACACTATACAGTAAGAAATTTAATTAATTAGACATATACTAATTTATTATTTTATTTTTAGATGATACTAATATACAAAGAATATCCGATTTATTGAAAACTCCATTACATCATTATTTTGGGTATCAGATATTCGACTTGAATACGGAGCCAGATAAGCTCGAAAAGGTCGCTTCTAATTTACAAGTGAACTTAATATACAGTATCCTTGTAAACGCATATCCGAATGTTTCTTGTTATGATAAAAAAAAGTGCAGTAGTATCAAAGATTCTGAATACATTATACTGAATAAAAATCAAGAAGAATTGGTAAGAAACTAATCGTGCTAACTAATAAATAATATATACAATGTTCCATAAAGATCATAACAACGTTTAAGAGTAGATTCCTGAAATTATTTTAAGACAAAAATTTTAATATGAAAATATTGAAGCTATAATATAGTTTTTCAATTATAAGCATTTAAAGTTAGCGAATCGTTAAAGTTACCGCCTAAAATTTTCGCGTTCAAGTGTGATACAACACAAAGTGCTAAAAGCGAAAGCTAATTGTCGTTTTTTGTTAATATTGAGATAAAATTATGTATGTGAAGATAAAATTATTGATATTTATTAACAAATTATTATAACCTCGATATTTGGATATTAGAGTCTTTGTCTCAAAATATAATATCAGGATTCTCCCCTTAAGCGTTGTTACGGTCTTTACAACCTCTGTATACATATAATAAACAATATGTAATATAATGTAATATGAAATATCTTTACAGGGTGTAAAAAATGTAATAAAAAGACCGAATCAATATATTTCGGAAATATTGACAGAGCTGCTACAGATTTTGTGCAACGTAAGTTCAGGACGATCTCATCTGGATAATTCGTACTTGGGAAGTATTTCTGATCATATAGATATACGAATGATTCTAAACAAAACATCGAATCTTGCCAGTCTCGATCTGGGCGAATTATCTGTAGGAGACGAAACATTGACATTTTTTTTGAATGTTTGGAACGTTATGTTCCTTCATGCGAGTTTAGATGTATGGTCCAACGATCCGCCTCTCGAAAGTTTGAGGCATACGATTTCATTGACGTCAATCGGTTATATAATTGGTGATTTGGGCCTAGTGACACTCGCTGCTCTTCGATCGAAATTACTGGGTAAGCTCGCGAATGATATTAAATTCTTCACGCGAGTAGAAGAGCTCAACGAATTGGCATGGCAAGATTTAGATCTTGTGCAAAATCCAAGGATTATCTTCGCCATGGCTAATGAGTTTTACGGCACGCCTGAGATTCGTGTAAGCTGACGCATCGATTAATTACACTGTTCAATAAAAATTTAAGTTTTGACATAAAAATGAGGATTTACATAGTTTTTGGGTATTGAATATAATCGCGTTTGAATATGATCCAAATTACTCTATCACGTCAATTTTGAGAAATTTGCGATTACAGTTTTGGAAAAGGAATATTTTAGAGTATTTTGGCATATTATATCTCTATATTGTGTAACGTGTTAAAGAAATTTTATTATAATTAGAATTAATATTGTCAGGATTTTCAGCTCTTTAAAGGAATTTATCATGCTAATTATGATTAAAAAGATATTTATTAATAAACTTTATTGCAGACTTGTATAGGCTTTTAAGAATCTCTCTCTATTTGGTTTAATTATGTTATTCAAACTTAAAAATGATATAGGTTGCTGAATATTAATCTGTTTAATATATGATTCATCTATATCAGTTTGATAATTCAATGTAAATTATGTGGAAAAAATATTCCAAAAATTCAAACATTCTTAAATTTTTATATCTGCCATATTGATTAAATTTTGAATTTTATTGGTTATCAAATTAGTATTCAACGACCTGAAAAATCCTCAAGTTTGAACAATATTATTATTAAAAAATATTTTACACCTTTCATGTTTTGAACAATTTGAACCTTATTCTAATAATTGCTAATAAAAAAATGAATGCAGTGCATGGAACACTAGTAATGTCACTTATTTTTCTTTAATGTATATTTATCAAAAGTCTAATGCTTCGAAAATATATCCATAAAGTTTTAAGTGTACATTTGATTTGTTTAGCAATATTTCAAAGAATATATCTCTAAACAGCATTATCTTAAATTCACACAAGAAATTTGTATTTAAGCATGAAGATTTGATTGTGAAATATTTTGATCGTCTAATAATCTTAAATTTTAGCTAAATTTTGGTTATTACATATAAAGGAGACAGAACCCGGATAAAAATTGGAAAGGTTCTTCCTCAAAATTGTGACGTGATAGAGCACTTTAATATACGGAATCATATCCAGCATCTAAACAATTATCACCTTTGCTCATTTTTTTTGTTAAACAGTGTTATTTGTCGTGGTAAATGGATGGATATGATCAATGTGTTCAACATTATAGGTGTATGAAGCGCAGACGTTAAACGATGCATTAAATGAAGCGACTAGTGATTATATCGCGTATTATTCATTGGTGTCATCTGATGAGTCTATAAATGGACCAAAACAAAAAATCAGCTTACTCAATCTTGTGAGGCAGTATCAAAACACATTTTCACGAGATACTGATGGTGAGACAAACGCTAACAGAAGTTTACCTTCAATAGCTGATTTCGAAAAATTAAACGAAGATATAAATCTGGAATACATGACGTCTAATTATACATACGAAGTGATACTAAAATATTCCAAATGTAATATATCTAATGTCACAACCATAAATCTTATACAGACATCACTTTGGCAGACTCGTATACTAAGAACTAGTTTATTGCAATATCTGGAAAGACATTGTTGGCTCGTCTCTTATCTTGTACAGAGAATGCATAACGAAAATCCGACTATTTTAGAGAACAATTATGATAATATAAAACGTATAGTGTGTCTTGAGAATCTTGTGAATTCTCCGTGGATGAACAAGCTAAAACTTTTATTTAACAATAACCAAATTCTTGCCGCTATTCATGATAGCGTACCTGAGCACGAGTTATGGCATTATTTTGAACTTAGAAAAGATCACAATTGGCAGGATTCTTTGGAGATGTTAAACGCTCTAGCTGACATCATTATAAAATACAGTGTAGAGTTACAGCGCTTCAAGGATTTGATTTTAAGTCACATGCTCTCCAATTTAGGTGTACTATCTGTCACAAGTATGCTGCAGTATCTGTATCAAATCAAAGATATACATATATTGACGCAAACGATATTACACAATGTTAACAAGTGGCCTATGATTTTATGTGAGCACGCATTATGTCACGCATTGCAGCACGAGCACAATCACAAATTGCCAGTGCACTGCAAACATCGGATGAATGATATCTTGTGCAGAATAACGATCTTCCATAAAATGATTCCGTACTGTATGAATAAGTCAGACATTACGTGGTATGATATTGTATATTGTACGGAGAAGATCGATCCATTTAAAATTATTAAGTCCCTAATCGACGCAGATCAGTTCGAGTTATGTTTGGAGTGGCTGGAATGTCAAGCCTTTTCTTTGGAGATGCAAACCCCTATGAGCCAAGACTTTTTAATAGGTCTTTTAAAAAATGAACAGCAAGATTTCAAGCAAGCTTTAAAGGTAATCAAGAATTTATTTATAAAGATCATAATCATATAATCAGCTTCGAAAATACTTATCATTGATTCGATAATATTTTAGTTTCTTCAAGCGTTACCGTTGAGTCAACCAATGAAAATATGTAAAGGGGTGCTTAAAAAATTAGAATCTATCAGCGCATTACAATTTATCACTAACTATTTGTTAGACTACTGCAAAATAGCAGAGCGACCGAAGTATCGGAAAACTTTGATAGGACTACAAATTCTAAAGCTGTTGGAAGATAAAGACAGATCGTTATATATCCATTTGATAAAAGAACCATTATTGATGTTGGAACAATTATTAATGAATTGTAAATTTGAAAATATTCAAAACATTTTGAACTCGCTGCAAGAGAATTTACAACATCCCGATATAGGCATCAGCAATTTTTATGAAGTTATAAAATTTTACGCCAAAAAGTCGTTAGATTTTCGTGTATCGTTTCGGCGTGACGGTACAAAAAATAAAACCAAAAATATGTCACAACCTAATCTTGAGGCAGAAAATAATGAATTTGTTATGCCTGTCAATGTACCTACTAAGGAGGAATGGGTCCCGAATGATAGGGTAACTTGAAACATTCAAAACTATGTATGCTTTAATCAATATATATTGTATTACACACACACACACACACACGCACGCACGCACGCGCGCGTATCAATACACACACACACACACACACACACACATATATATACACACACGATGGCGTGCAAAAGTTTCCGGCCAGTGACATTTTGTACACTAATTTATAAAAAAAAACCTGATAAAATTTTAATCATTCTCGGGTATTAGTACAAGATTTCGTTACCTACATCTTGTATTAACGCTAGATAATAATTAAAATTTTATCAAGTTTTTTCTTATGAATTAGAGTACAAAATGTCATTGGTCGGAAACTTGCACGCGCGTGCGCGCGCGCGCGCGAGAAAGAGTATGCGTGTGTATACACAGGGTGTTTCAGATCTATATCACCTATTGAAAACTGATGTAAATGGTTTTTGTAAATGATTCCAAAATTTTAATAAGTAAATCGGGTACGTACTGGTGATATTTTCAACTTCCGATTCTGGCCGGAAATGGGTCATCCAAACAGGAAGTCGATTTTCAAGTAGAATATGGTATTTTTTATTGCAGATTCGTATTCTACGCAAAAAAATATAAAATTTTATCTGAAATATTTTTTTCAAAAATGCCTGTATTAATCATGAAACAATTTTGAAGTTCGATTAAAAAAAAATCAACTTCTGGTCAAGATAGCTCATTTACGGTCGGAACCGGAAGTTGAGATATGAACGTTCGATACGTACCTAATTTACTTATTAAAATTTTGGGGAGTTTTTATAAAAACCATTTACCTCGGTTTTAAATGGGTGGTCTGATATACATATATTATAGTACATTATAAAAAAAATATATAGTAAATTATTAGTAAATTTACATAATGAAATCTGATATTTAACAGGCTAAAGAGTGCAATTGCTGCAAGGCTGTGATATTTTCAATGTTTAACAGACGACATCACTGTCGACGATGTGGCCGTGTTATTTGTGCTATGTGTTCTCGGCATCGTATGCAAGTTGCTGGTTATCCCAGTTCCGTGTTGGTACGCGTATGCGATGATTGCAAACATCAAACGATATTACAGATGCGTGCGGCGCAAGGTGTTCCATCGACATCCAGTAGTGAGCTGTTTGATTATTGGCGATTGACAAAAGACGAAAAGCACAATTGCACCATAAGAGAAGAGTTCTCATTTGAATATGCGCCAAATATTTCGCTGTGTCTTGCTATTCTTAACTTATATTGCGATTCTAAAATATATACCAGGTAATAAGTATAGTGAGAAATATAAGAAATATAATAAAATAAATTATATTTAATTTATAAGAAATAAATAAAATAATTTATTTATATAGTTTCTTATTAGACCGTTGCGATGAGATGAAACGATTACTCCAACCCGTTAGTGGAGACAAGATAAATCCCGAAATCGATCATGCGGTAATCATCAAGATGATCCGTTCTCTGCTAACCGCGGCTAAAATGAAATGCGCAAAATTTGGATTTAATACTGGCCTCGCGCACTGCGATCGATTCTTATCGCAGGTGGATCTAATTGCAACTCTAGTCCAATCCGATTGTGTGACTCTTATACCGATGGACGACCTCGACGAGCACACGCTGAGGAAATTGCGTGATCTCCTCACTGAGAAGGAGCGTTGGACGTTGGCGTTGGACGTCAGCACGAAAGCAGGATTGGATACACAGGGCGTGTGGGCCGCATGGGGAAAAGCTTGCTTGAAGGTGGGACATTTAGAACAGGCGAAAGAGAAGTTTCAACATTGCCTTGATAAAATTACATACGAGGATCTTGACGATTGGGTCATGCTGTTTTATCCCAAGGAACCAATCGAAAGTCCCAAGAAAGAATTAACGGTAAAGATGATGCAGTCCGCGCAGAAGGGGAACGAAATATCGGATGAGGAAAAACAAGCGTGCAAAACTGGTCACTTAAGAAGAAACGAATATTTTAAATGTCGGCCGTTAAAAGATCCACCGTTGCTAACGGAGATTCTTCAAATATTAGATACCTTAAGCATTCATCGATCCCGAACACAGCATCCAAGTCTGCAATCCAAGTCTGATACGGCGCAAGAAATCCTACAAACGCTCAATAGTCTGAAAGCTGTTAGCCAAAATCAATTTAACGTTAAATATGTAATACCCGCCAATCAAACGGTTTATTATCAAGAAAGTTTGTATTATCTATTGGCATACGGAAGTTACACCTCTATTTTACAATTTTTCTTGAGACATAAAGAGTTTGATAAGTGCCTTGTATATATCTTAGATAATAACATAGAACGTGATCTATTTCTTAACGGAGTTTATTTGTACTGTTTAAAGAACGGCCACATCGAGAAACTTCACAATGCGATGAGGGCGAAAGATCCTACTTTAGTTACTTGGCGGAAATATTTAATATTCGTCTGTCATTTCATGGAAAGAAAACAATATTGGCATATTTTATATCAGATACAACTCTTTATGAGAGACTATGTACGAGCGTCGATGACATGCATTCGTTTTTATACCAATGAAGCGAACACTTATTCAGACTTGCACAATAGAGCGCATCTGTTACAAGACGCTCAAAAGCACTTGGAGTTGGAATTGCAGACGGAGAGCTTGACTAAAAGAAAAAAAAACATAAACTCTGATCACAGCGGCCAAAATACTTTAGTGATGGAACCCTCGGAGATAGACAGACATATAAACACTATATGCAGACAGACGGAAATCGTCAAGTTTCTAGCAAACTGTGAAAAAGAGGAAAGACCTTCAACTGCATTTTTTAATCTCTTTCCAGATATTGACAGCGATAATTTTCAGACACTTCAGTTACCTACATTATTTGGCAACCAACAACAGAAGATACATCTAGCCGTTTTAGCTATATTGTGCGGCCGCGATATTGAAGAAGGATTTGGCATAGCTTTCAGGATAATGCAAGGTTGGTAGCAACGATGTGGAATGAAATATATACAAAATGCAATAAACTCGTAATAATATGTGTTATAGATGAACTAATATTTTGTCAATGTGTGTGTATCACTCTTTTACAGATTATAATCTTCCACAACAGAAGATGTATTCTTTAGCTGGCCATGTGTTAGCTTTAAAAAATAATGTAGCTGCAATCGAGCAGTTGATCAAGTGTTGCCGTAGCTCTGGAGCACCTAATGCTCACATTATTTCGGATCATGTTTTGGCACACTGTGTGAAATTATTGTTGACTCATTCGTACACTGAACAGATTCCAACACTCAAGAATCATATAGATATTTTAATCAGACTGATAATCGACACAGAACTGAGAGTGAGATTCATTTCAATTATATCAATATACAGGATGATTTTGCTAAATTTTACGATCTGTTTGACTCTAACTTTTGTTCCTTTGACATCCTTTGACGAGGTCAGTATTTGAGATATGGACTTATGGCAGTAGATTTTATCTGATAAAGTTTCCAGATTATCTAAACCATGTTCTCTAAAAATCGTTAAAAGATGATGGAAGAACGCTAGATAATCGTGGATTGTTCCACAAAACTTGTCATACTTTTGAGAGTAATTAAAGCTCTTATCATGGTTTTATTATAGATTTAAAAAATATTCACGAATTTGAAATTTGTACGTTTTAGTAAATTTTCGTTTTACAGTGTGAGAATCAGAAATCTTAGGATAAAGTACGTTAATCAATGTCCGAAATTTTTTGGTGGTCAACAGAATTTTGATTTTTGTAAAATTACATCGATTTTTGTTTGATCTTGAGATAATGTTCGATTCGTACAATTATGACCTCTATGACTTTATCATTTTTAATTTTAAAAATTAAAAAAATGAATTTTTGTTTGATTTTTAGATGACCTTTTAGACTTAGAAACGTTATCAGATAAGATTTGACGCCGTAATAAACTCACATCTCAGATGTAACTCTCCCTCAAGTCAAAAGTTGTGCTAAAATAAATCATAAAATTTAGTTAAATCACTTTATATATCAATATGTGAGCACATGTAAATATACACAAACTTTGTAATACTTTTTAAATATGCCAAAAGAGATTTCTAATGTACTTTATTTATATATTTTGCAATATTATTCTTTTCCAGATAAATGCGTACATTGAAAATAAACAACTGAAAGCTGCATACCTGCTTGCAGTGAAATATTCTAGAGCACAAGATATAAGGAGGATTTTAAAAGAATCAGATAGACTTGGTCAAAGTGCAATTAAAGCAATATGCTTAAAATGGCTACAACAAAAACCGAAAAAATAAAATTCGCATCTATTCCGACAAAAAAATTAAAAATAAAACAAGTATATAATAATCTTCGCATTTTTCATAAAATATGTAAATCAATATCTCTATTTCATGTAAAAAAATATTAAATCACCAAAAAATGAATTACTTATAAAAAATATATTTGATTCTAAAATATATCAATTAAATATATTTTGGATACATAAAATATCTTATAAAGTATTTTTTATTTGATCTTATCTTAATATTATTTGCGAAATTCTTAAAAAAAATTGATTTGTATAAAAATTCATATAGAAACACAAAAAACTACCTGTATTATTTTAAAAAAACCGGATGGGGTTACGCTAACTCTTTGTGTGTACTGAGGGTTAACATTTATTGAATTGGAAAAGTTAAAAGCATCGCAAAAAAAATAATATAAATTTATATAAGAATCATAAAAAATTATTGTATATAATTGTTTTTATTATTGTAAAAAATTGTTACTGAGGGTATTTTAAATTAATGGCATCGCAATTTCAATCTGTAGCCTAAAAAGGGGCAAAGTTTAAGCTTTTAACACAACTAGGAGGTTCTAGGAGCTTCCATTGTTTTCCTACAAATGTTGAAAGATGACAAAAACACGTTTTTTTGCACTTTTGACCCTGTTTTGTTTAAAAACTAGAGCTAACTCACTACTTTCGTTACTAAATTCGAATTCGGGAAAAAACCTATCGGAAACAGTTGCCTTCGGCCCGACAAAAAATCCGTGTTTTCCAGTGTTATTTTTAAAAATATTCTAGGACTGGAGTAGATAAAAGTTATTAAAATATATTTAAGGATAAACAATATTTAAGGAATGTATTTATTATAATATAATAAATTTCTTTTATATCAATTTCAGAAGTTTCTGTCTGTATGTGTGTGTGCGTGTGTGTGCGTGCGCGCGCGCGCGCGCGCGTGTGTGTGTGAGCGCGTGCGCGACACAAAATATATATATTTACATACTTTACACACTGATATATTGTAAGGGAATTACAAGTGTAAACTTTTTTATAATCTAAAATTAATTTATCTAGAAAAATTTATCTTTTTCTAAAAATTAAAATTAAGCCTGTGAGAAATGTACAACACATCTGAGATTTTGAGTCATAAACCAGATTTTCAGTTGAAGAATTACTCTCGCGTCTTATTAAAATTTATTAAAAGTTCTTGAAACTATATAATTATTATTAATATACTAACATTAATTTTGAAAATTATATTCTTTATTATATTTCTTAAAAAATTAATTACGTTTTCTTAAATCTAAACTAATCCCTATTTCGCATAATTTTATTTTTACAGCCCTTTACGTTATATCTGTATGAAATCTATAATAATTAATAATAATTAATGTAGATGAAATGTGAATATAATGATAATGTTTTAAGTATATAAAATATGAAATGCAAACACAGAGGAATGTATATATAATAAAAAACATATTTTTCTATAAATCTAAAAAAATAAGAAAAACAAGTACAATTTTGTAGATATCTGTATAATTGTCTGACTGATTTTAAGGAATTTCTATTAATTTGATATCTTACATTAAAATAAATAAATATAGTACATAAGAGCCAATCACAGAACTTTATGCGTAATTATGAACGCGATGATTAAATTATATTTCTAATGTTTTTCATATCGAAAATGATTTTCATACAAGAAGAGGTAGTCTCTTTATTATACAATTTTTATTGCATTCTGAAGAGGGCTCAATCCCGCAGCCGAAACATGTCAAACAACAGTGTATTAAATTTTTTAAGTCGGACATCATTCTTAAATTTTCTTATCATTAATATTAGAAATAAATAAATCAATTTACAACAAGTTCTGCAGTTGGCTCTTATATATTCTATACTATTTTTATTTATTCTAATATTTGTTATTTCGAGCCCTTTATTACTTCTCCATTCTTATTATTTTTGATATCTTAGCTACATCTATTTCACAATGATATATATTTTTATAAATATTTTATGATGCCAATGTGAGAGTTAAAAAGAATTCTTTTATTGAAAGCGACATAAATTAAATTTTGATATACAGGATCTCCCATTTTAACTTTCGCATCGAAATATTTCAAAAAGTATAAAAAATATGGAAAAATGTTTTAAACAAAAGTTTTATGACTTCAAAGGGAACATACCTAAGATGGTTCCATTTGTCTTTTGAATATGTTACAACAGTCAAAAGATTTTAGCCATCAGTTGGACATTTTGGATAATATTAATAACTGACGGTACTGTATAACTTTCAAACATTATATCTCGAAAAGTACTAAATGAAAAATATTTTGTTTTGAAATATAGTGTTTTGAAAAGTTCTCAAAGTAACCTAAGAGAATATGCAATGAAAAGTAGGGGTTTTATTTAAAAAATTCAAAGTGAACTTGTTCCTTAACACCACCCGAGATTAAACTAATAGTACTTTTGTATGTCTCCCTCAGTCATAAAATTTTTATTTGAAATTTTTTTTATACCTTTTGTACTTTTCGAGATATTTTGATACAAAGGATAAAATAAGAAACTCTGTATAAAGAATATAATTATGCTATGGGAACAACTTGATATAATTAACATGGTTTTATTTATGACACTTTCAAATTAAATGCTCACATATATATATATATATATATGTATAAGAAATAAATATACAATATAAAAAGCCCTAAATTTATATTAATTTTTAAAACAGACATACATGTCTCTCTGTTTGGAATTTGTAAGTTATACAGCATAAAATGCTTGCTTATTACTGTTTGTCTTCTCCTAATGATGATAATCTTTCTTCATACATTTCAGCAAACTTACTGTCTGTATTCTTAATAGCTGCCAACAAAGAATTTTTCTCGTATTGCGACCAATTGCTACTCCACTCTCTGAAGAGCTTGACGCGACACTGAAACAAGCTAGGTGGCCTGTCAGATTCGCAATTCAACTTCTCCATTCCAGTCACCAATCCATTCACTAGTCCTGCAGGACCACAATTCTCCAGCAACACGCCCAGAAAATCATTCCGCTGCATCTCGGACCATTCTTGAAACCATTCTATCATGTAACGCAGTTGAGCCTCGTTTGACAATATAGTAGACATATTCTCGCTTAAAAACAAAGATTTCAAAAATCAGCTGTGAACTTCAGCAGAAACAAAATACATAAAGTTTATCGTGAATACATTTTTATTTACTTTAAAGACAAAAAAAAGATGTATAAAATTTTTTAACATGAACATTTGAAAACGAGAACAGTTTTTAGAGAGCAATTATATTTTCTACACACATATTAAATAGTCAAATAAATACAACTGCAAGCTTTCTATTTTTTGTTTATATCACATCTTCGTAATCAGATGAATTAAATTGACAATAGTATTTAGCCTAAAAAATTATTCTTATTGCTATAAGAATAGAAACAGTATGTAATATCGGGGGAAAGGATTGTGCGAACGTTCTTGCTAGGTTATGAACGTTCTCGATAGACGTAGCTAGACGATCTGAGAAATACTTATGTAGAATACTGAACAGAAATGGAAAAATAATTGATTTGACGGGGGTGCAATGGCAAATTACCGAGTCGTGTACGTGGGTCTTGGCCAGGCTGTTCGAACCGCCACGTCTGTCGTCGATACTTAACAGTTAACGGCTATTGTTCTCACGCAGGAAACGCGTGTTATTGCGCTCTAGCCGCTACCCAGTTGTCATCATGGGTACAGCGAATTCGATAAAAATAACATGCTTCGGAATCATGCAGTTGGAACTATTATAAATGAGAATGTATTTATAAAACGACACTTGTACGCTATATTGAAGTATCAACAGTGTAATATTTATTAATGGACTACACAATTTAGGATAATTTGGATTTTTTGGGGTTAGTCCGTATTTCGTCTTCCTTCTTCTCTTCCTTCTCTTCGTCGAGGGAATCTGAGTCAATGTCCGAAGAGATCGATTGCTTCATCATTTCTGTCAAATTGCAAAAATTGAATTGTACATAAATTATACAGGAGGAAAAATTATTTACAGTTACGCGTACAATCAAGCTATTAAGCGTACCACTGGACACATCTCGTCGTTCAATAAGTGTGGTTAAAAAACTGTTGATCTCTGACTGCATATCCCGCAGATTCTGTATCAAAGTCCTCAGGTCGTCTCCATCAGACCGGTCAGTCTCGTGCTCGTGGATGCACTTTTCGTCATCATATATTCTTACTCGTACGCCAGTAGTAACATTCATTGTGCCTCGACGGATATTTGAATTTGAATTTTACGTGCATGGTGCCTCTAGGCTATCACACAGAAAGGGTACGTTCTTTAGGGATCGGATTTGACGGCTGCTGCGCATCGAAATTTGCCAACAGTGCGATTGCGCAATTGATTTGAGAGAAAACCAATTAAGTTCTTCTTTTAACTGATTCCCCTGTTTAGTTTTCCGATCCCCAAAAAGATCACAGTACACCACATATGCGATGAATCGAGATCGAAAAATCCTGTGATTATAGTGTCTACAGGGGATAGAGGCTTCACACTTAAAAAGTACTCCTTAGGTTGATGTTCCCGGGATTGCTCGGGGTCGCCATTATCTACTCTCTTCTTCTTCTTCTTCTTGAGATTCCCCTGGAATCTTAGGTGTGGATTTTCAACCCAACGTACACCCAAGGATTTTGATTCTTTCCCTCGAAAGTCGAAAATGTTCACAAATTGATAAATGACCACTTTTCTACATTAATGCTCATAGTCCGTGCGCGATTAACGACACGATTAAGGGTATATCCACACAAACTTGCATAGCCGCATAAACATATGCATCAAGAAAATTATCCAATTGCAGTTCTCTTTCTATTTCATTACAGTTAAGCTGGAAACACGGGTGGCACCCAGTTGGGCACGGCTCAATTGGACACGAGTCACTCACAGCGCTTGAGACTACAAAGCTCCTAAGCACCGGTCGCTGTGATTGGT